GGACATCCTGGCTTGTTGCTATTGTTGCTTTTAGAATACTTTAAATAAAGTTTTATTTGCAATGTTAGAAAAATGGGAGTTCAATCAAGGTCAGCAAGTTTAATGCCATGATATAAAACAATATAACAATTATAATATAACATACAACATATAACAAAATATAATAGGATGAAGAACCTCATGAGCTTTGAAAAGAGAAGAGTTTGAAGATTTATACCATCATATAAAACCTTAGGTATCAACGACGACAACAAAAGAGGACTGAATCAGAACCAATTGTTAAACAAGCACCTGATGACACGAGTGGACACTAGGGAGTAAAGATATATCAGAAAAGAGAACACACTGATCTGCAAAGGACTGTAGGTGTCTGCAACAAGCCATCCGGCTTGTTGAAGCAGATTTCCTCAAGAGCTGGTTGGACAAGTCCTTTATATCAATTTGCTGCTGTCAATTAAATGGGAAATGTGAGCCAAAACGTCACCTGCAAATTGCAACCTATCTTATGATTCTACTGTACTTTCTCATAATCCTAAACTTGGATTCCAACCGTACTTTCAGTACTTTAGTAACAGTAGGACTGGAAATCGAAATGCCTCCAGATAACTTTGATTAAAATCCTTCCTTTCTCAAAACATTTGAGTAAAAAAATGAACCTTTAATTGCTTAGTTGGTGTGAGTTCCTCTTGTGTGCCAATTGCTTAGAAATCAAATCAACTTTGATTACTCATTAAATCAAATCATATTACTCATTTGCAGAACAATACACATGCTTGAGGTGTCTCCGTTTAACATTTTCTACACATACAAATGAGACCAAAGTTATTTCACTTCTGTCTGTTTACCAACAGGCACAAATGTCAGAGGTGTCCACTCGTATGCAGGTGTGCACTTGATTGTGATATCCATGGCCACATTCGGATGTATGTCACATTTCACTGTACAAATCTGCACAGGTTTCATGCAGTTGTTGGAAAGGGACAACACAAGGGACAAAATGCACCCTCTATGTTAGGAGGCATTAGTAGAATAGATGTATCCAGTGATGTCATCTGATGTCAGCTATATCAGAACACAAGAACAACCGAAACATTGTTCTTCAGGAATGCCAGTGCCTGTCACTGGTCTGACTCCAGAGGGTGGATCTGAGGTCCGAACTCACCTCTGTTGCTTGGGTTTCAGGCGTCAGGCGGTCGAACTGGAAGCGGATCACTCGCAGATCCCGGCAGTACAGGATCAGCTCCTCGGGAATGAACTTGAGAGAGGAGTTGGGAGTCACAATCTTTGTTCTGGAGGGCCCCACTGGAATAAACAAGACATGTGCTTTAGCCTAACAAAATAAACCCATTGTTACTGTACGTCCCAGTGTGTGGTCTATGTGTGTTTTTGCTATGTTCCACACTGCTGACCTTTGATTGTTCTCCCTCCCCCATTGGCCCACCATTACACCACTGTTTCCATATGACATCATCATCAATCAGCTTCTCAGCCAATCAGACTGCATCTTATACAGTATAAAACATGGGGGCTTTCAGAAGGAAGAGGCCTTTCATTTGACTTTGATCCCGCTCGGCTTTGGTTATCGCTTCGCTTTCGGTTTTTGCTTTGGCTTTGTTGGTTTGTTGTTTTGCTTTGCGTGTGTGGATTTTCATATAGCTTTGGCTTTGTACTTTCGTTTGTTTGTGTTTATCCTTGTTTCGCCATTACCTTGCCCTAACGTGTTATATGTTCAGCCTTTGTGTTCTTAGTACCCTGTTCCTGTTGATTACTCTTGTTTTCTCTTATTTGTATTCCTAGTTCACTTGTGTATTTGTGTGAACTTTTGTGTATAAGGTTAGTTTAGGTTGTTGGGTACATTCTAAACACTTAGTTGATTTTGTATTAGTCACTAGTTTAGTACGGGTGACTGCCGTTTGTCTTGTATTGTTTTGGGTGTCAGTGGGGGTTAGCTAGGGGGGTGAAGACGCCGAAGACCGTGTGTTTCGGGTTTTCTTTTGTAGTCAGATTAGCTTTCCCTCACGTTCCTAGCAAGCTCCATTTTGTTTGTTATTTTCTTTTCTTTGGCACCACTGTAGTTCCTTACACTCTAGTGTTATTGTGTCTTATTTCATACCAGTCACTTTTTCAACTTATAATTAATCACCTTTGCATCAACCCTTGTTATCACACTTCCTAGCCCCTCACTAGAACCCACCTGCTTATCCTAAATGTTACACCCCTTTACCCCTAGACACTTGGGGGCGTAACACCCATCCTTACAGCTGACCTCTTCAAGCGCATGATGACCTTCACTTTCAATTCTAATTCATTATTAGCTGAGAACAGCTGTTAAGTCCTTTACACTAAGAGTTGCAGGTGCAGTTTCCTTTGCTACTTTTGTAGTCACTCTTGCGACTTATGTCCCATTGGTTATACAAGGGACACTCCAATGACAAATATCTTGCAGTACTTCAGCAGCTCATCTGTCCTAGTAACTGTACGCTTACTGACTATGATGAAGCCCTGTTGTGATGAGTACAGCTCTCACTACCCTTGTGGGGACTCACACCCGGTTGCTCGTGGGCTATGCGCTCCTGGGATCACCAACCCCAGACAGCGGATAACTATGCCACACTGAAAGGCTGGGTCGTCTGCACTGTCTAGATTTCGGGGGCGGGGGTCACTTCTGGACTTGCTCAGTGCTCTGAGAGCCCTGTTACATTTGTCACATTGTGGGCCAGACTGACTGGAACCAGCCTGAACAGTAGAAATGGGGCTTTCAAGCTTTTCTAACTATGGGATACCCTTTTAGAAAAAAGCTGATCTCAGTGTGAAAAAATGAACACTATAAGTTTTCAAAAATGTAACTGTAAGTGTTTAATAAAGAATTTTACTTCTGTTAGTACTTCCTATGCCAGCAGCCATTTCATCCTGCAGCTCACAGCTCACTGAAGCTCAGCAGGTGTGAGCCTGGTCAGTACCTGGATGGGAGACTCCTGGGAAAGCTGAGGCTGCTGCTGGAAGAGGTGTTAGTGGGGCCAGCAGGGGGCGCTCACCCAGCAGTCTCTGTGGGTTCTAATGCCTCAGTGTAGTGACAGGGACACTATACTGTAAAAAGTATATTTACAGTGGACGAGATGTAAAACTGAGGTCCTGACTGTCTGTGGTCATTAAAAAAATAGTAGGGGTGTCCTACCAAATTTCCCCCTGGCTTTTACCCATCACAGCCTCCTAATAATCCCAATCTCTGAACTGGCTCCATCACTCTGCTGTCCTCCCCACTGAGAGCTGGTGTGTGGGGAGTGTACTGGCACCTCATCCAGGTGGGGCTGCATACTGCTGGTGGTGAAGGGGATCCCCCATGACCTGTAAAGAGCTCTGAGTGGAGTGTCCAGAAAAGCGCTATATAAGTGTAAGGAATTA